TTAAATCTATACAAATAATTAGATAAACACTGGAACGTTTTGTAGAATAAATTTAATTTAACTAAAAGGAGTCAAACATTTTTTTTCTTGAGTATAGATCGCGACTAATTTCCATAAACGTATGATAACTCGTAAAATTAATAAAATACTTATTATTGTACAAATAGCATTTGGATTGATGTTTATTAATCTAATTGTTATGTGAAAGTGTTACGTACTGTGAAATTCGCAGTTGGTTGGCGGATAACCTGCTCTTCTTCGGACGAGGTATCGGACTCGGAATCCGAGCCGGTGGCGAAGAACCTACTCATGTTTGATTAGTGCGGCAGCAAAAACTGTGAAGCAAAGGGTAAAATACGGATTTAAGTATTATTTGAATACGATTTTCGATATAAAAGCGAACATTAAACAATACCCGGTAACACAAAAAACGTGGAACCGAATGGACAACCAAGCAAAATGCTATGAAAAAGTGGCTAATGTTGGGAGGGGTGGCTCGCAGCGCGATAATGTTGATAAACAATATCACACCACGCCATGTTGCAGTGTAGCCAAAAATGTTAACGACTCGATAGGTAACGATGAAATTCTCATTTGTTTACATCATGTATCTTAAGTTTTAATAGTCAAGTAAAAATTTTTAATTATTCGATAATACATCGATATCCAATGAATTTCGACATTTAAAATCTAAAAATAATGGAACGAACATTTTTAAAATAAGCGATAAATAATTTTTCCTGTATAACATTTTTGATTGCTTATCATTGAGTACCACTGCTTGTTCGGCGTCACAGTATCCGAGTGTTATGTTTTGAACCGAGAGTTATGACTACATAACGTTATCTTTATCGAAAGTTTATTTCATATTTATTCACATTCTTCTATCAATGTTGCATTATTGGTTGACTTTTTTATATCTGTTTACTGCCTTTTCTTGCATCTATTTGCTTATCATTTAATTGTATACCATTGTCATTGGTTAATATTATTTTTAGGAAATATATATAAAAAAAGACACATTAAAATTTTGATTCAATAGCTTATTTTAATGGTTCTGTGTAAAAAAGTATAATACAATAATTACGTAATATTAAAGATGGGGCAGATACATACTGTTGGACCCAACAAAGCTCTTATAGTTTCTGGTAAGTTATGATAAATATATGACATGATTTATATTTTATTAATTTTTATTATAAATAAATAAAAAAAGCAAATGATTTATTTAACTCATAAATTACTATGACTAAAGGTTAATTAATAATAATAATTTAATATTATATATGATTTATATAATACTATTTTTCTTATAATAAATAAAAAAATGAAATAATTAAACTCCTTGATTATTATGACCAATGACTTCGAATCATATCCGCTGCTTTTTCACCAACCATTATGGTTGGGGAATAAAGATGTGCACTTGGAATATGAGGAAATATTGAAGAATCTACTACCCGTAGTCCTTGAATTCCAATTACTTGTAATTTATTATTGACAACATCTCCCATCCTACATGTACTGCATTGATGATGATAAGTATGAGTCAAATGTTTTGATATACAAATCCAATAATCGTCAGATTTGAATAATAAATGATTACATTTTGGATGTGGCATTGGGCTTAGTTTAGCTGCAATGTTTTTAAATGCTTGTGTTTCTTCTACCAACCTGACTGAATATTTAAGTGCAAATACATTGTCTTCTAGATCAGTTATATTGTCATAATAACCATAAGACATAATAGGTGGATGCCATGGGTTTTTACTTTTCAAAGTTACATTCCCTCGAGCTTCTGGTTGTAATAATAAAGTAGCAATATTAAATCTACCTGGTGTTTGCCCTATTGGAGCCAATATTATTTCAATTTCTTTGCCTGATGGTGATCGTACAAAACCTAAGCCATCTACTCTTGATGGTACAGTAAGTGGTCCACGACCATATTTAAACCATTGTTCAAATAAATAAGGGTTTAATATTGTTTGCTCATTAATTACCGGTCCCGTATGATTTGATATAAATTCCAAAGCTAAAAAAATAATGTTTCATTTTTATAAATTATGTAATAACATAAGACCAAATGTACTTAATACCTAGATTATTTTTACAATATAAATATTTTCTTACTTATTATAATGTAGTAAAATTAAATAAATTATTATAAATAGTTAATTTTTGTTCGAAATATGTTATACTAAAATATTATACCTGTATTATTTTTGATAAGATTTAAGCTCAGTTTCTATGACTCCTCCAGCGGCGGATTGGCCCACCAGAATAGTTCCCGGTAGGCCAGTAGTTGTATTATAACATTGTGCTAATGTACTTGGATTAAAAATTATTTTATAAAAATAATACATTTAAGAATATTGTATTTAATTGTAAGATTGTGATAAAAACTCAGTGTAAACGTGATGTAAACAATTCTACGAGCATTTAATTCATGAATAAAGGAGACTTTTATAGAAAATTTTTACTATTAAATGGTGGGCCGGTTATACAGTAATTTCCCGGGCTGAAATTTTTAGCCAATCCGCTGCTGGACTCCTCTATTAATGTTTATATCAAAAAGTATATTTCAAATTATTATTAATATTTTGTGTTAAATCGTAATTTTTTATTTATTATTATTATTTGATATTGCTGTAAATTTGTCTAATAACCCTGTTCATATTTGTTTTATAATATATGGTTTATTCGTTATTAAAATTTAAATAAAAATTATTGCAACTTTTAAGCTAAAGTATAGTGATTGATGTAAAAAGGATAACATACTACATTCTCATTCTTATTAGCATACAAATATTTATAAGTTTGTTATAAAATTAATTATATTATTAAGAGCAAGAATTATGATTTAAATTAAATTATCTTTACCTAAAGTACCATAGTGGTCTTGTAAATTTTGCCCCACTGGCAAATCTTGGATGACTGGTATACCAAGATTGTTTAAGTGTTCTTTTGGTCCAATTCCTGATAACATTAATAATTGTGGTGAATTTATTGGTCCTGCAGATAAAATAACTTCTTTTTTAGCAAATACTCTTCTATTTTTCCCTTTTTTTACAAATTCTACTCCGATTGTTTTTTTAGATAATGGATCAATAAGTATTTTTGTTACTCTACAAAATATTGCCACGTGTAAATTTTGACGGTTTTTGACAGACTGAATATAGGCTTTAGATGCACTCACCTAAAAAATAAAATTATTAAATTGACTTTAATAATATATATATGTATAACAAATTAATTTCTTTAAAAATGTCAACTTTTTCTAATTAACCTGTTTATGATGTTTAAATAAACAGTATAATCTTTAAATTAGAGTATTAATGTTGATAATAACATTTAAGTATAAAAAAAAGAGTAAAATAAATGATCTTATAATTAATATTATAAATTGTATTTAAATAAACATTTATTTATATATATACTTGTTGGTATAAGTTATAACTGTTTTAATATTAATTTTATAATTTAAAATATTTAATTGAGCGTATAAGTGGGTTAGATTAAAATAAAATATACAATCTAACAGGTAAAAAATACAAATCGAATAATTACTCTTCGTCCATTTCGTGATGTGGCTTGTAAACGTGATATTCCATTTTCTGGATTTACTGTATAATCAATATTTTTTTGTAATCCCAATTCACCACCTGCTTCTATAAACTTATCTACAAGTGGTGAATGGTACCTTACTCGCTCAACGTGTAAGTTTCCGGTCTGTGAATGTAATGATGAGTTTTGATATTCTTGTATAGAATTATTTTCAGCCTTTAAAAAGTAAGGCAATACATCTTTGTAGGCCCAACCAAAATTTCCCATTTCTGAAATTGTGTCATAATCTTCTTTTTTTCCTCTTGTGTAGAACATACCGTTTAATATAGACGATCCTCCCATTCCTTTACCTTTTGGCCAAGGACAACGATTATTTGCATAATTAAAACATCCATTTTTAGCTGGCTCAGCTGTATAGCCCCAATTATAGTCCGTTGATTCTAAGTATTCTGCTGCAACTGGTATATCTGTGTAAATAGACTCGTCTTGTCCGGCTTCTAATAATAGCACTGACCAGTTAGACTGTTCAGATAAACGATTTGCAACAACACTACCTCCAGGACCGGCTCCGACAATAATAAAATCATACTCACGTAATATTGGTTTATTACCTAAATATGTGTTTTCTCTAAACGGAATTCCTTGTTGGAGATATTGTCCATAAATTGATTTAAATAATTCTTCTACTATTGAAGATGAAGATGAAATAAAAAATAAGAATATTATAACAATTTTCATGGTGAATCAAAAAATAGTCAGTGTACTTGACCATAAATGACTAATGTCAGTGTCAATGTCTGGAGAAATACTTTTATTTTAGGTCAAACTCCCCACTATATGTACTTTGTATTTAATATTTTTTAAATGTACTGTTACTCCTACTATAGACGAGAAAGAGATTTATATTTCATATAATTTATTGGTTTATGAAAGATTATAATGTGGTAGGTTATTGAACCAGTAACGTAGGTTATTTAGCAATAAAACATACATTCACATTTAAGTACTACTGTTAAACAATTTTACTTCAACTGATTACTATTCAAAATTTAATAAAAATTAAAAACTTTCTAAACAAGTAATTTACTATCTCAAATTTTTATCAACCCATTTATAATTAATTTCATCGTTTCTGATTTTGAACGTAAAAACAAAATGATTTTTTTTACTACGGTTTTTTTTTATTTTATAAAATTCATGGATTGAAATCTAAAATGATAAATTATTCAAATGTTATCAATTTCAATTAAATTAGCAGAAAACAGTGAAATAATATTTATTCATTTCTGTTAAAAAAATGTTTTAATGCTATAATAATCGCGTTTGAATTAATATTATAATATACTATCTTACAATAAGATTCAAAATGTGATAAGTATTTTAACTTGGTATACTATTTTTACGGCTACACAGTATCTAAAGCAACGATGTTCAACCTGCGACCCTCCAACGATTTATATGTAGCCCAAACAGAACTCATTGAATTGATAATAAAATATGAATTTCAAAACTTATATTATAAATATAAAATAGGTATAATAAAACAATCAAAGTTTGTCGCAAATTTAAAAATGAAATATGCAAAGAATGTGTACCTACAGAAATCAGCCTACTGATTCACATTTTGACGACTTGTTAAGAGTAGCATGAACCAACAATAAACCAGATATATCCAAAATAAAGCTAACATTATCTCTCAATATCAAAATTCACACTAATTTAAAATAAATATTTTATTTAATTTTTTTATTTCTGTTCCGTTTATTTCAACTTGCGTCCCATGAAATATTGTAAAATATTTTATGTGGCCCAAATAAAAATAAAAAGGTTGAGTATGGCTGACCTAGAGTCACGCTGATCTGGTCATCGCTAGGCTAACTATCCGGACAAATTATAATTCGTACTTTAATATTTATGTATATATAAATGTAAATATTGTATAAAAATTATTTATGTCAATGCCGATTATCTACTATAAGACGTATATTATTGATAAATAACTGATATCTATATTCTTATGTAAGTATTTATCGTATAATTGTAGGTACCTCTATGAAATTTGAATTATTCGGGTTAGGTAATATTTATTAGTAAGTTGAAAAAAAAGTCATTCCGTTTAATCCGGGTAGAGTTCGATCCGATCTAGTCCGTATCGACAAGACTACTGTATTCTAAATTTTAAAAATAAATATATTTCATTTTATTGATTTTATGTCTTTTTAGATTTTTGATGATGTTTTCATGGTCCACAACACTGTTTATTATTTATTTACTTATTTTTACTTTTTTTCTCTGATTAACTGGTTGAATTGAAGTAATTGAAGTTATTAACAAAAATAATGTATTTTTTCTGTTAGATTTAATGAAATTTTATTTTAGAAAATTTTAATCTCTGTAACAGTATTTTTCAATATTTATATAAATTAAATCATTAATAATTGTTTATATTATTTTAATAAACGAGGATATACAATTATTAGAGTAAAAATATTAAACTTAGGGTTCAGTTTTGATCATGTTTGGCATACTTAAATACCTATCTAGTCTGAATTAAAATTATCTACTTATTGCTCTTATGATTTTGTATAAAATAATTGTTTCATATTTTAATTATTGCAAAAGCAAAGATGTTTAATGAATTATCTATTAAAAATAAACTAATAAAATTATGAAAATATGTTATGTCCATATAAATTTATAATTCCTGGAAAATGTATTGGTCGTTTTTTTGGTATTTAGTTTCTTTACAGCATATTTTGGCGTTAACTATTATAATATTCATATTTACAAATATGGCATTAGTTTTATTTTGACTAATTTCTAAAGCAATGGTCCTCAACCTTTTTTTGTTCACGGCAAACCATTATACATCACAAGTTTTCGCGGCACACTCATGCACTTGACAACAATAACAATTTTGGCTAAACGCTAAGATATCCAGTTGGGTTAAAACCGTACAGTTCACCTACATATGTATCTGCACAATTAATTGATATTTAACTGTCATAGTTTCATCAGTCGGTATTTTCAAATATCAGACATTTTTCACGGCATACCAAGTCGATCCCGCGGCACAGTAGTTTGCCGCGGCACACTGGTTGAGAACCACTGTTCTAAAGCGTAATGTTAAAATACAAATGTCGTAAATTACATTTGTAAACATTTATTTGCATGTTGATAAATAATGGTGACTTTGTGTATAATTCATATTTATAATAATCGATTCATTTTATTATAAATAAATAATAAATTCATACGCCACTCGTGACCTCTTTTAAATGTAGGTGGATACGATAAAATTCTTCTTTAGAAATACTTTCATCAGATAATCTGACTGTTCCGATTTACATTAGCTGATACCATGCCTACAACATTTTAATGGTATGATAATAACAGTAGCAGAGTAAATTGCACTGCTATTTTCTATTAGCAATAGCAGGTTGCTAATCAAAATTAAAAGTAGCGGTTATTACTAATTATTTATTTTTAAATAAAAAGGTCATAATCTCCCCCTCCAAATGTCTTTCTCATTAATGTCTTACCATGTTTGCATAGGGTTATACAAAATTAATCTCTATGGTAAATTATTAATAGCAAACCCTCTCTTCCTGGAAAAACCCTGTGTCCTCACTAGCTGTTAATTTGTTATATGTATTATAATCTTGTACTTTCATTATTAAGTTATATTATTATAATTTTTATGTGTGTATTTTAGATTCTGAGTGTATTGAGAAATGTATTTACTACGATGTTTGATATTTTGGTTCTGTATACAATTTTGACTAGAAGGATTGTTCCGATTATTATTAAATAATAAGTGAAAAATAAGAAATAGGTTGTAAGTGACACTTTGAATTGAAGGGGGAGGGGTTACTTAACTCATTTTTTAGCAGCTTTCTTAAAATTTGCGTAAATTAACGGAAAGTTATAAAAATATAGCAAAAGTTACGGCATACTGGTTTTTGACCAAATTTAATTTTTATTTTCATCATAACTTATAAAATAATAATCTTAGACATGGAATTTTCACTGAAATCTTATACCATTATTGATATTAGATATATTCCATAGATATTCATACTATGAATGGAGTAATTTATCAAAGATTTTTCAAGTCAATTTTTTATTGTAATTTTTATATTTTCTTAAGTTTTTTTTTTTTTTTTAAATTTGGATAATATAGTTATTATTATAGGCAGAATTATGTTATTATTATATATGCAAAAATATGCAAAATAAAACTTTGTATTTCGAATCTATCAACTAAACTTGTAGTTTACCTACCTATTGCCTATTTTTTGGACTGTTTAGAAAAAACATGCAAATGCATATAAATCCGGGCTTTAGTTATTATAGTTAGTACAACAAAAAATCTTAAAAAAGTTTCATACATAGTTTCTCATACATATTTAATGTTGATCAATGAAAAAAAATTAATATTAATTTAAAAAAAAAAATAACAAACGTTCGATTATTAAATTTTAACAAAACTAGTAATCACAAAAACAAATTTATTGTAAAAAATTCATAAAATGTACAGTTTTTATACTTTTTATTTTTTGTATTTTTATATGTACATTGGTTTCAAGTTTAAAATACCAACAATATAATATTATATTACAATATAATAAAATAATAGCAATATTATTTACCCATCTTTGTGTCTCATTTATCCGTAGTGTTTCATTTGACTAGGAGTTTTGCTTTTTTTGTTTATATTTTTATGGTTAATTGATAAGAGAAAAATGAAAAATATAATTTTTTCTTCTTTTTTTTATTACATTTAAATAAAGTGTTCATTTAAAAGCATTTACAATTATACTTAAACTTATAGTATATTTAAAATTTATATTTAATCCACAGAATAGTTCATTATGTTTATCACAGACAATGGTTTATGGATAATTTATTTTAAATAATCAAATTCAAATAATTACACCCCAATCTTCTTTAATTAAGTCTGATCCTTTTTCAGCAATCATGATAGTTGGTGCATTTGTGTGTGCTGATATTATTTCAGGCATTATTGAAGCATCAATTACCCTTAGTCCTTTAATTCCTTGAACTCTTAATCTTGAGTCTACCACAGCTGTAGGATCTTTAGTTGGTCCCATTTTACATGTTCCTGACAAATGATATATGGTAAATGTTAGGTGTCTGGCTGCACATTTCCAATAATTGTCTGAATTAAATTGAAGATGTTCACAACCGAGTATAGGAATATCCCATAATTTAGCATTAAAACTTCTCATGGTTTTCATTTTTGATAACTGTTCACTTATTCTTACACCGGCCACTATTATATCCAGATCTTTTTCATCAGAAAAATAATTTGGATAAATTGCTGGGTATCGAAATGGGTTACGATCTTTTAATTCTATCCATCCCTTGCTTTTTGGTCTCATGATCATAGGAAATATCATGAATGCATTTTTTTGTTCAGTTTTTTTAAAAACACGATTATATACTTTATCATCAATTCCAAATGATTTTCTGAGTGTTTCATCTGAGCTCACAGCTCCATTTATAAATAATAGTTCAAGATTAGGATGGCCATTAACATCATTTGGATGATCTAAGTCAAAAAGTGCCAGTGCTTCTGTACCTCCCGGTATAGCTATTGGTCCTTTGTGATACATCATATATTCATGTAAATTGAAAGGATTTTCTAAAATTCTATTGGTTGTTATTGAACTTGTGTCATTGACTATGTATGTTAAACCACCCAATGCTACATGATCCATTAGATTACGACCCACTGGTAAATCTTGTATAACATTAATTCCTTTTGATGTTAAGTGATCTTTTGGTCCAATTCCTGATAACATAAGTAATTGGGGAGAATTAATAGCTCCAGCTGAAACTATTACTTCTTTTCGTGCAAAAACTCTGTATTTATTCTTCCCTTTATAGTATTCTACTCCTATTGCCTTAAGTTTAGTTTCATCGAATAATATCTTAGTTACATGGCAATTTTTTTTTACAAACAAGTTTTTTCGTTTACGTATTGGTTGAAGGAATGCTACATTGGTACTATGCCTTAATCCATTTTTCATTGTTAGTTGATGAAAATTAAATCCTATCTGACTATTTCCATTTAAATCTCTTACAGGATATCCTAATTCATATCCTGATTGAACAAATGCTTTTGCTAGCTTACTCTTGTATTGTGCTTCTGTTACCGAGAGGAGGCCTCCCTTTTGATGAAAACCATGATCTTGAAGGGTGATATTTGCATCTTCTGATTTAAGAAAATATTTTAAAACTTCATCTGAGTTCCAACCTAAAAAAATGTAAAGTTAAAATAGTTTATTTAAATAATTTTTTTATGTAATTTTGTATTTTTACTAACCAACATTTCCTAAATCAGCCCATGCATCATAATCTTTTCTGTGACCTCTGGTGTATATCATGTAATTTAATATGCTTGATCCTCCCATAACTTTTCCTCTCGGAAAATTGCATTGTTTATTTACATGACCTATAACATTTAATTTGTATTTAGGTGGCTTTTGTGGATCAACCAAGAAAATTACAGTTGTTGGTGGTTGGGCGTGGGCCTGGTGGCTCATAACAGATGTTCAATATTTATCTCTTGAGGTATATAATTATAATTGGTAGTATTATTGTAATATATAGTTTATTTATACTTATTTATGTGTCAATATTTTTCATGTTTAGGTTATGACTTTAAATCCAATATGTGAGACTGTTGAAACTGTTCATGGAGTTCCTTTAACAGTAACAGGGGTAGCTCAGTGTAAAATAATGAAAGCTGATGAACTTTTACAAACAGCATCTGAACAATTTCTTGGTCGATCTACAATTGAGATCAAGCAAACTGTGCTTCAAACTCTAGAAGGTCATTTAAGAGCTATTTTAGGTACTTTAACTGTTGAGGAAGTTTATAAAGATAGAGATCAATTTGCTTCTCTTGTAAGAGAAGTTGCTGCACCAGATGTTGGTCGTATGGGCATTGAAATATTATCATTTACAATTAAAGATGTTTTTGATAATGTTCAGTATTTAACTTCACTGGGAAAATCGCAAACAGCAGCAGTAAAAAGAGATGCAGATATTGGTGTTGCACAAGCCAATCGAGATGCAGGTATTAGAGAAGCTGAATGTGAAAAATTGGCTATGGATGTAAAGTATGGAACTGATACAAAGATTGAAGATAATTCAAGAATGTTTAAACTCCAAAAAGCTAACTATGATATGGAAGTGAATACTGTTAAAGCTGAAGCTCAGTTAGCCTATGAATTACAAGCTGCCAAAATAAGACAAAAAATTAGAAATGAAGAAATTCAAATTGAAGTTGTTGAGCGAAAAAAACAAATTGAAATTGAAGCACAGGAAGTTGAACGTAGAGAAAGGGAACTGAATGCCACTGTCAGGTTGCCTGCTGAAGCAGAGAGTTATCGTGTTCAAGCAATTGCTGAAGGAAAGAGGTAATTAATCTTGTGTTAAAGTTAACAAAAATACAACATTTATTAATTGTTTTAGAACTCAAGTTGTTGAAGTTGCAACTGCTGATGGTGAACGAATCAAGAAAATTGGCTTGGCTGAAGCTTCTGCTATAGAAGCAGTTGGTAGAGCTGAAGCTCAAGGGATGATGTTGAAGGCAAACGTGTTTAAAAATTATGAAGAAGCAGCTGTTATGTCATTAATTATGGATGCATTACCAAAAATTGCAGCTGAAATTGTAGCACCTTTATCTAAAACTGAAGAGATAGTGTTGTTGAGTGGGAATAATAATATAACATCTGAAGTGAATCGATTTGTTGGACAATTACCTCCAGCTGTTCAAGCTTTGACTGGTGTTGATTTATCTAAAGTATTATCAAAGATTCCTGGGGCCAAATAAGTGGTTATTTATCCACGTATAATTTGTATTAAATTCTTTATTTTTTAACTATATTTTATGATGATCAAAAACTTGTATAAATCTGTCAAGTTAATTATTCCAATATCATTGTTTGCAATTATTTTGTATTAGATAGTCATTCATTTTAATAATTTTGTAATTTTATGGGGTAACATTATAGTAAATTATAAAGTTTTTGTATGTTACCCATTTTATGTTTTAACTTAATTTTGCTTGATTGTGTATATTTACCTTTTATTATACATATTTATTATTATTATTCATTAGCATTTAATATTAATATTTTCAATTTTTATTGTGCTTTATGTTTAACAAAATGTAATTAAATTATGAATATGTTTATCATATTATATTTTTAATATTTTTATGTATAGTTTTGAATAATACTGTGGTTAGACATTATTAATTGACCATTCTATAATCCATCCTAAAATGTACTAATGAAGTTTTGAAATATTCCATTAAAATAGTAGAATATATTTTGTATATAGTTATTTTCATATGTTATAACCAATTTTGTTTAACAACTAGATATTTTTTATTTTAAATCTATTTAAAGAATAATCAATTTTGTATTAGTTAATATAACTAAAATTGAATAAAATAGCTTGCACACTCTTTAATTACTTAGATATATAGAATGTTATATAGCGTTACCTTAAAAAACTATTATTTTAAAAAATAATCAAAGTTTTGTATTTGGAAGAATTTTATATTTTTACTAGAAATAATACATATATAATTTATATATTATATAATAATATACTAATTTATGAATAATTTTAAATAATTATTGAGTGTTACACTATCTAAACCTAAATTTTAATTTAACTTTAATTGGCTAATAAAATATCCACAAGTTACTCTACACTAAAAATTGTTGGTTAATTATCTTTTTATATCAATGGGATTTTTTATTTTATTTTTTTTATGTGGTATTTGTGATGAACTTTTGTTTGTTTTTAGAATTTGAGTTGTAAATAGCTTACAGCATTACAATAGTAATAACTGATAAGTATTAATACTGTATTTGTAAAACTATTTGATTTCTATAAGTTTGATTGAAAGAATTTGTCAATGGTAAAATTGTATGGTAAGTATCCATGTCAATATTTATTAAAAATGTATGAAGATTAAATTAAATAGAATTAGAGAAATGTTTGGTACAGATAAACATTTTTTTTATGAAGGGTTACTGTACATAATTTGTTGCGCATTTTTTAACGCTTTCGTGGTTGTACCGTACACGACGTCTGTACTTAATTACCTAAGCAATAGCTTTTCGATGGCATAGTCTTATACTTCCAATTAGCATCTGTGAATTGTAACATATTGGCTAACAAAGGAACGTCCATTAAGAATTGCTCTTCGTCACCGGCTTCCATCAACAAAATGTCCCACGTGGGTACCTGTAAAATGAGTCCGTCTTAATTATATTTTCCCAGTAATTATGAGTTTCTGAGTCAATATTCGTGGGAAACACATCTCGAACAACCGAAAATTAAATGATAGCATTTGATCTTGTTTTTGCTGGTATAGGTATGTACAATATTCACGTCAGTGGCGTATATAGGGTGTGGGTGCCTAGTGTACTACAACTCCCCTCCCAAATTACATGGATGTATTCATCAACATATTATGATAACAACACAGTGGCGTATATAGGAGGGGGTGCTTAGCTGGCTACAGCCCCCCCCGAAATGTTTTAAAAAACTTAAAAATTATTTAAAATGTATGTTATATTTTAATGGTGCTTTATGCTTATTTAGAATTTGCGTCCAGCGTCAAATCGTTTTGGGACATTCTATAAATTAAATGTAGATAAGTACCTACTGTATCTTGTTAGTAATTCTTAGATAGCAGTAGTAATTTAACCTGTCCATAGTAGCCCCTTCCGAAAATATTTTGTATACATGATTACACTGATTCACGTTAATATTGTAATAATATTATAGTAATGGAATAATTATAATAATAAACGTACAACAGCAAAAATATGGATTTAAATTCAAGTTCATTATTATTATTTTTAATAAAATAACCGGGAAAAAATTCACCATAGTCTATAGTGTACGCATACACATATCTATCGTTGATTTAAATAGTAGGTAATTATTTATAATCAATATATTGTTATCTATTCAGAATTTAAAATAAAAAAATCCTACCAAATCTTATTGGCTCATGTGAATGAAACAGGATTATGCCGGGATTGGTTTATGATCATCGATGTACGTATAGGTGTATAGATAAACGTAGGTATTTAGAGTCTTAGCCGGTAAGAAATCTTCCAGCACTTTCGGATTCCCACAAATATTGCATTATAATGTATATTAGCGGCTCTGAACGTTCTGTTGCACGCGTATATGTCTTTAAAATTAATTGTTGAATCCATGAACCCCCGAGTTGATGAGTAGAAAAACCATATTTTAGTTACCATAATTTTTTTATGTATTTAAAAACAACCCCTGCATATCATTGTGTATACGAACAAGAATGCGATATAATTGAGGACCCCTGACACGAGTGTTGCGGATATCCAGGTAGCCGTAGACCATGGATTTAGATCATATCTGAATTCAATGCATTTCTAAAATGTTAATTGCTTCCGACGAGTTTTTGCAGAGCTGTTCAGAGGAGGGACAACGGAACCATTTTGCCCCAGGCCCCATTGTTGGAATATTTTTTAGAGGACCTCATAAAGTTTTGATGTATGATAAATAATAATAAAGCCTCGATTACAATGAGTAATTTTACACTCTGCATGTTGCGATTAAAGTCGCGCGCGTGTGAGCGTGTAGCGACTTGTCTCATTACATTGACTGATTAAATTATAAATAATAGGAATAATATTCAATTCTGTTATATAAATATGTAATACAATACATGAATTTAAATGAGCTTGATTGGTTAAGGTTTGGACAAATACGTTTGCAAGAATTTTGTTATTCTTAGTGAGTATTTTGTTTATCATATCTTATTTTTATGGTCGAAGGGCCCCCAAATTAATTTGCTTCTGGCCCCGAGTTATTGTTTGTAAATTCCGCAACTGACCCTCACTGATAACAGGGAGAGGGGACAAAGGGATCATTACCCCTACTGGGAATTTTTATTTTCAAAACTATTGTTAATATAATACCACGCATATTAATTATAACATCATTTTATTGAGATCCATTTATGAAGTTAAGTAAAATTGTTTTATAAAAATGTAAAATTTATTATATTTTTAGATAATTTAAAATGTATAATCTTGAATGTATTTATTAGTTTACAAATGACTGCATATCGATTATAACTATAAATTCTCCCGAGTACCGATTTCTATAGTATTTGATTTTGTTCTCATCTATTTTTAGATACACGTTGTTTTGGCCCTTAAAATTTTAATCTTGCCCTGTGTGGGATTTTATCTTGCGAACGTGCTTGCCCTACTCCAACCCCTTTTACCGAAAAAAAAAATAAGATAAATAATTATATATTTTTTTAAATAAATGCATTGTAAACAAACATAGTATCTAGGTTTTGCCCTCGGTTTGCGTGTGTATTCACTTACTTCTGACAATCGATTGGCTACCACTGCTCCGGCGGAACCTGCGCCGACAATGATAAAATCGTATTCGGCCAGCCCGAACCGTTCGTCCCGTGTCTGACGGTTCACGTAAGCTAGATTTTCTTGCAGAACATTCAACAAGTCTTCGAAAAGTGGCGGATACTGCTCATTTTTGGGTAGTTGACTGCGAGTATGGACAGCGAACAGCAGGCAGACGATAACTAGCTTCAGCATAATTGTATCTGTTAAGGAGTTGGAAATGAAATGGTCAGTGAATGTTTAAACGATTCTCATACGAAATACGAGTTAGTATTTTATTTTTTTTTAGTAGTTTTGTTGATGAGTTATATGAGTTATGTTGTTACAATGGCGTATATAGAAAATATTTTCTGGTGGAACTACTATGGACAGAGTTAAATTACCACTGCCATCTAAGAATTACTATAAAGACATAGTAGGTACTTATCTACATTTCATTTACAGAATACCCCAAAATGATTTTACGTTGGACGCAAATTCTAAATAAGCATAAAGCACCATTAAAATATATCAAACGTTTAAAATAATTTTTAAGTTTTTTAAAACATTTCGGGGTGGGGGCTGTAGCCAGCTAAGCACCCCCTCCTATATACGCCACTGTGTTGTTATCATCGAATGTTGATGAATACATCCATGATGTTTTACATATAGTACTATATTTTATTGTTTTACGAATATAATTGAGTAGAGGCATTCTTATATAAACGGATTAGTCATCATTACGTATACATGAACTTATGTTTTATTAAATTTTACATATTTTTTATGCTGATACACTTCTACAGATTAACCCCATAAATGTCTATAACGTTTTATATGCGCAAACCTACTTTTCTCCGTAAATTATCTTTACAACTACTACCCAGCAATAAGAATATATATAAGGGGGGGGGGGTGATTAAGTTAAGAAAGATTAAGTAAGATTAAGTTAGGTTTATGAATAAAATATTTAAATTACAAATTAAACTGTTTAACTTCTATTTCATATTTTGATAGCACAAAAAAAAGTATTATACTATCGACTGTCGAGAAATCGTAGTAGCAAGGTTATTAATGTTTTAAAGTTGAACGGAACGTTACAAAATGTTCCATATCGTCATGTTCAGTGGTGTGCGCAGGAGAGGGGATGATAGGGGATATATTCCCCCCATAGACTTTTTTTTTTAGTCTTAAACGTTTAAAAACGTATTTAAGAAATACGACGGGGCAGTTACGGTTAAATGGATTGGTGTTAATGAACATACATTGAGACATTCCATTATCTTCAGAACAAATAATTGATGAATTTAGTGTAAAATCCAGAAGGATTTCTGCCTTGATTGCATTTTTTTTTTGTATAATAATAAAAAATAAAGATTGAAAATAATACATTTTTTATTTATGACATCCCCCCATACCAAATTCCTGCGCATGCCACGGGTCATGTTATTATTGTTATCAGTTATAATATGAATGATATTCATATTTCATATCAATTAGCCGTTTCGCATGTTAAGATAAATCATTTATTTTCCTACGTAGCCTATATGCAAACATTATAAATGTTTTATATCATATTATTAATATTTTTTAAATTATTATTATTTCATTAAATTTATATATATTCATCACAACGTAGGTCATTATATATTTAAAAATATAAAAAAATTCTTATTATACATACAAAATGTTATATATTATTATTAATAAAATAAATTCTACAATTCCACCCATATTAGACAAATGTGCTTAATTCGATTCGGTTCATAGGTCGTCCGTTTTGTGGCATCTCAAACTTAACGGTTCGCAGTGAAAATGCGACAAAATAGCGACTGTGATATGACTTTATTTAATAATATATATATATATATAAAAACATCAGAAAACTAAACAATGAAATAATAACAATAAAATTTCAATTCGTTTATATCCTATTTTATTATATCCTACAACGTGTATTAAATGTTATATGATTTAACTGTAATACCGATATTAATATACACTAATCGTTTTAATTATTTTTATCTTTTCTCCTAAGTATATATTATTATTATCTATTGACTATTTAAGTTTAAATGCTCGAATCAGTGGTGTATTTGAGACTTCATCTCTGAAGGGAAACTATAATAAGAGGGGTAAACTCCTTCTCCACCCATTCCAAACATTTTTTTATACGTTTAAAAAATAAAGCACATTTTCATTTACAAAATAAGATCTATATATTTTTTTTTTGTGAATCTATCAATTACATTAACAACATTTATTTTAATTGCTCTATGAATGTTTAGTAATGCCTGAACGCACAAGTGCATGCATATTTAGTACTTTTTAAGTACATTAAGTTCCGAGCCCTACTTATGACCAAATCGTAGGTCCCTGTTAATTTTTGGCCTAGCAAAATAAAATTCCCGGCCTGAAATATTAACCCAGTCCGTCCCTGCCGCACGGTGTCGTCCGTGAAAATAATTATAAGTAAAATACCCTTTCAATGTCCATTTAATAATAATTTATATAAATACATAATATGTATTGAATGAAATTATATTGCTTGTGCCCAGGGCTAGGCAGTATCTTAGATACTAGTATTTAAGATATGTATCTGAGATACAATTGTACCTTGTATATTGTATCGAGATACATTATTTTAATGTATCTGGTATCGTGGGTTTAAATACTTTTTAACTTGTATCTAGTATCTTTTTATGATTAAAGATACTAGATACGATCTATTGTTATATAATAATAATTATTAATAATTTAAATCAGGCATGTCAAACACGCGGCCCGCGACTTATTTTCTGTGGCCCTCGGCTAGTAATATTAATGGACAAAATAAAAAAAGAATAATAAAAAAAAAAATTATAAAATATTAATCATGTGTTTTAACTAACATAGATTCTTTGAGAATGGTATATATTTTGGTATACATTATTATGTTTTATCTTCTGATAAACTTTAATCTAATCGAGCAATTAGTGTTATTGATGGTTTCATATGTACAGATAATAAATATATGTATAGATTATAGAATATAGATTAATAATTTATATCGTCGGTACGCGACATGCGTGCCTTTGGAAACTAGTCGTTCGACAACCAGCGTGTGTTCGAGTTTAAATTTTGTTGCGTATATTTTACTAAAAATTAATACATTTAAAAATGTCTGCATCAAAACCAAATGGTAGTTATAAACGTAAAATTACCGATGAACATCGTCAATTTCATGAACATTGGGAATTACAATATTTTTGTAGTGAAATCAATAATAAAATAATTTGTTTAATTTGTAAAAGTGTTATTAGTGTTCTAAAGTTGTACAATATTAAGCGACATTACGAACAACATAAGTCGAAATACGACCACTATGAACGGTTATTAAGACAAGAAAAACTGAAAGAATTTAAATCAGGATATAAACACCAACAATTAATGTTCACTAAAATACCTCAAGAAAATGAAGCTGCAGTAAAGGTTAGTTATGTGTTGTCAGAGTTAATTGCCAAACATTCTAAACCATTCACCGAAGGTGATTTTATAAAAACGTGTTTGATTAAAACGGCTGAAATCATTTGTCCCGGGTATTTAAAAGCTTTTCAAAACATTTCATTAACATGAAATACGGTTGCTGAAAGAATAACTGAACTAGCATGCAATTTGAGAGATCAGATAAAAATTAAAATACCTAGTTTCGAGTATTTTTCAATTGCCTGTGATGAAATACCGATATTGGTGGCACAGCTCAGTTAGCTGTGTTCTTTCGAGCTTGCGATACGGAATTAAATATTTATGAAGAGTTATTGGAAATTAAACCTATGTATAGTACTACTACAGGAGAGGATGTATTCGTTTCTGTTTGTGAACTCTTAAAAAAATATGATTTGCCTTTGGTAAAGTTATCGTCGTTGGCTACAGATGGAGCTCCTTCTATGACAGGAAAAAATAAAGGTTTCATTGAAAGGTTACGAAAAAAAGCGAATGAAAATTTTGAGCATACATTTCATAAAACACATTGTATTATACATCAAGAGATGTTATGCGCAAAAGTTATTAATATGGTACATGTAATGAAACCGGTAAAACAAATGGTCAATTTTATAAGATCTCATGGTTTAAACTAAAGACAATTTTCGATTTTTTTAAACGATTTAGAAAGCGAGTATTCAGGTTAACCATACTTTACAGAAGTACGTTGGTTATCATGCTCCACTATATTAGAACGATTCTGGAAGTTAAAAGATGCAATACAAATATTTTTAGAGTCTAAAGAACAAGATGTCAGCACTTTGTCGGATCCAATGTGGTTACAAAACCTATCTTTTAAGGTCGATATAACGAAGTACTTGTCAAATTTAAATTTAAAATTACAAGGAAAAGATCAAATTATAACAGCTATTAATGACCATATTAAGGCTTTCAAATGTAAATTAGATTTATGGGAAACACAGTTACAGAATGAAAAATTAACGCATTTCCCAACATATATGACGTACGAAACAAGTTATTATGAATCAATTTTTTACAAAAAATATTCAGAACAAATTATATGTTTGAAGACTGAATTCGGAAATAGATTTCAAGATTTCAAATATTTAGAAAACGATTTTAAATTGTTCACGTCTCCTTTTTCAATAGACGCAGTAAAAGTTCCAGCACATATACAAATGGAACTGATTGAGTTTCAAAATGATTCAAATTTAAAACGTAAATTCAATGAGGTTGGTGTACCGGATTTTTACAATTTTTTGCCTGTAAGTTACGTAGAAACTCATAGATTTGCGTGTAAAATTAAGTCTATGTTTAGTAGTAGGTACTTATTTATGTGAGCAACTATTCTCATTGATGAATAGCAATAAATCACCCGTTAGATCCAGATTAACTGACATACATCTAAATTCAGTTTTAAAAGTGGCTTCATCCAATAATGTTTCTCCCGAAATTGAGAAGTTGGTGGAGGAAAAGAGATGCCAAATATCGTCCAAAAAGAATTATTAATATGTTTTCTTTTTTTAATTTAAATAATAGATATCTCATATATTATTAATATGAATTTTTTGAATGTTCATTTTTTTTTAAAGTTTTTCATATGTATTTATACCTGTTGTGTCCGTAAAGAATAAAATGTAAAAAATGTAAAAAATATACTTATTTTCGTTAAATGTTGATGTGTGGCCTACGTAGTAAACTAATTAATATATTTGGCCCACCTTATACTTCGAGTTTGACATGCTTGATTTAGATTAAAGT